AGCCTACGCATAACCTACGCAGGGACTATTTTCCCATTAATACGCAGCCTAATTTCTGCGTAGTCAGTACGCCACACTACGGAACTCTACGTAGTTCCAGTGGCTTAAAGAATAACTACAGGTACAGTTGGATCGTATTTTTTTTTTTATATAAGGCCAAATTAAAAAAAAAAACATGTTTAGCATCTGTTTTTATGAAAAATGGGAAGGAGGAGGCCCTTTTTTTTTTTTTTTCTTTCAAAATTGCCGCTCCGTACATTTTCACTGACATTCTGGCTATTTTTCAAGATGGCGGCCGACAATTTTTTTTTTTTCTTTTTTAAAATCAGAAATACATTTTAGCAGTGCTTTTCATGTTTTTTTTCTTTCAAAAAAAAATAAAAAATAAAAAAATAAAAAATAAATAAATAAAAATAAAAATAGGAGGCGGCCCCCTTTTCTTTCAAAAAAAAATAAAAAATTAAAAAAAAAAATAAAAATAGGAGGCGGCCCCCTTTTCTTTCAAAAATAAAAAAAATAAAAAAAATAAAAAAATAAACAATTACAAAATAATATAAAAAAATATTTAAAAAAATTAAAAAAAAAAAAAAAATAGGAGGCGGCCCCCAAAAAGGAAGCAGGCGGGGATCTGTTTTTTTTTCTTTCAAAAAAAAAAAAAAAAAAAAAAAATCAAAAAAATTTCAACAGAATTTCAACAAAAAAAAAAAATAGGAGGCGGCCCCCGAAAAGGAAGCTGGCGGGGACGCTAAACATGTTTATTTTTTTAATGGCCTGAATGGCAAATAAAGTTCTTGGTGGTTTTAATTTAGGCAGTCTCTATATATCTATTTACACCCCCGCCCCCCTCTAGAATCCCGCGGATTTCCGCGGGTCCTGCTAGTCTATAATAATAATACGCTAAGGCTCCGCGGGGGGCGCGACGTCTCGGCGAGCCTTTGTATTCTATTGTTTTTTAATGAGATCGCCGACCGAAGTTGGTGCAGCTATCTCCTCCTGAACCCTCCCCTCGGGGTACCGGTGACCGGTGCCATCGTCCGCGGGAGAGTCTACTCTAGCGAATTGGCTATACTCCGCCCGAGGTCCTCCTCCGTGTCGACGTCCAGGGCGAAAACAGACGCGACATGCATAATGCAGGATATGCGTGACGACAGAGATACCTCATGGATATTCAACATGACATCCGTAGACGCACGACCGATGACTATCCACTCACATTAAGTTGCGTATTAAATGCTCTATGCAAAGGGCGGGATTACCGAGAGTAAAGCATCTTTCTATAGGATGTGCTTTGTTGTAGCTAGGATGTGCTTTGCATGGATTTGCATGTAGTAGCTGCACAAGAGATACACGGGGCTTCCCGTCGACGTCCAAACTTAGAGACCTATTTCCATCATGATTGCCGCGATTTTTCGTTTTCGTGAATGGAGGTATGAAATCAAAGCTTATTTTGTGATTATTACGGCCATGTGTACTCAATTTTGATTATCATTTTCTAAAGGGAAAGTTTTGACAAGAAAACCATTGGACTGACAATTCAGTCGCAAGCTAACTTCAGTCACCACACATCACAGTGCAGTAACTCGAGGAATCTCCAACACCGGCACCGGGCACCGCAGGCGTCCGAGGCCTGCGGCGCCTGTGTTTGAGCTTCGTGGAGTTACGCTGGAGTGTTATGTGTGTGAGTAGAGCTGAGCTGAGCTCGAGTCGAAGAGATTTGACACTTTGAAATTGTTATCTGTTGGTTTGCATCATTATTGCCGCGATTTCAATATAGTTTCGTGAATAGATTTACGAAACCTGAGCTTAGAATTAGTAAAAGTATTACTAATGTCTACGTTTTTAAACGACTGTCTGATTTTCTTGTGAAAATTTTACTTTGAAAAATAATTATCGAAATTTATGGTCAGAAATAATCACAATCTAGGGTCTATTATGTTACAGTTCTTGCATCAAATCAATGCATGAAAACTTAGTTATTGAACTAGAAAAATGTTTTTTTTTAAAATAGGCAATTATGAAGAAGGAAACCTGAAACCCTGAGTTGAGTGTATATTTGTTTCAAGGGGCCATAAACCCCCAAAAGCTCGGGGGTTACGTTCTTCAAAGTTGGGGGGGGGGGGGGGAGAGATCAGATCGCAGCGAGTTGAGTGTATATACAATATAGGCGTGGGGTCCACGGGTTTCAAGGGGCCATAAACCCCCGAAAGCTCGGGGGTTTTAGGCGTTTAATTAGGGTCAGATGAGCATATTTTTAATACTTTATTTGTGACACTTGCGGGTCACTAATTGGCGTGGGGTCAATACGTAGAGTTGCGTAGTGTTGCTACCAACTACGCTGGCCTACGTTACTATATGCTGAGGGACAGAAAGGGGTACGCAAGATGAACGAAAACAAGTCAACATGTTTAATTTTTTTCGCGTACTTTCAGCGTAGAAACTTGACGCAGAAAGTACGCCTTTTTACGCAACACTATGCTACCCTACGCCAGATCGTCAAAGCAGTAAAAGCTTTCCACACAGTAAGCAACCATATAAGCAAACCTGTACGCCAGCCTACGCATAACCTACGCAGGGACTATTTTCCCATTAATACGCAGCCTAATTTCTGCGTAGTCGGTACGCCACACTACGGAACTCTACGCAGTTCCAGTGGCTTAAAGAATAACTACCGGTACAGTTGGATCGTTTTTTTTTATTTTTTTATATAAGGCCAAATTTTAAAAAAAACATGTTTAGCGTCCTGTTTTTTCTGAAAAATGGGAAGGAGGATCGAGGCCCTTTTTTTTTTTTTTTTTTTTTTTTTCTTTCAAATGGCTGCTCCGTACATTTTCCCTGACATTCAGGCTATTTTTCAAGATGGCAGCCGACAATTTTTTTCTTTTCTTTTTTAAGATCAGAAATACATTTTAGCAGTGCTTTTCATGTTTTTTTTTCTTTAAAAAAAAAAAAAATAAAAAAAAATAAAAAAAAAAATTCAAAAAAAAAATAAAAAATAGGAGAGGCGGCCCCCAGAAAGGAAGCGGGTGGGGACGCTGTTTTTTTTCTATACAAAAATTTTAAAAAATAAAAAAAATTCAAAAAAATTTCAACACAAAAAAAAATAGGAGGCGGCCCCCAAAAAGGAAACGGGCGGGGAAGCTGTTTAAAAAAAAAAAAAATATAGGAGGTGGCCTCCAAAAAGGAAGCGGGCGGGGACGCTAAACATGTATATTTTTTTAATGGCCTGAATGGCAAATAAAGTTCTTGGTGGTTTTAATTTAGACAGTCTCTATATATCTATTTACACCCCCCGCCCCCCTCTAGAATCCCGCGGATTTCCGCGGGTCTTGCTAGTCTATAATAGTAATACGCTAAGGCTCCGCGGGGGGGCATGACGTCTCCGCCGGCCTTTGTATTCTATTGTTTTTTAATGAGATCGCCGACCCAAGTTGGTGCAGCTATCTCCTCCTGAACCCTCCCCTCGGGGTACCGGTGACCGGTGCCGTCGTCCGCGGGAGAGTCTACTCTAGCGAATTGGCTATACTCCGCCCGAGGTCCTCCTCCGTGTCGACGTCCAGGGCGAAAACAGACGCGACATGCATAATGCAGGATATGCGTGACGACAGAGATACCTCATGGATATTCAACATGACATCCGTAGACACACGACCGATGACTATCCACTCACATTAAGTTGCGTATTAAATGCTCTATGCAAAGCCCTGATAGCAGACTGACGTCTTAAAGACGTCATAAATTGGTCGTAAAGTGGTAAACACGTCGTACGTCGTATGGACGACGTAATTACGACGTCATTATGACGTCTTTATAAGACTATTTTTTCCAAGATAATTTTTGTCGTATTAACGACGTCATAAAGACGTCATTTTGACGTCTTTAAAAGACTATTTTTTCCAAGCTAATTTTTGTCATATTGACGACGTGACAATGACGTCATTATGACGTCTTTAAAAGACTATTTTTTCCAAGATAATTTTTGTCGTATTAACGACGTCATAAAGACGTCATTTTCTCGTCTTTAAAAGACTTTTTTTTCCAAGCTTATTTTTGTCGTATTGACGACGTGATAATGACGTAATTATGACGTCTTTAAAAGACTATTTTTTTCAATGTAATGTTGTCGTATTGACGACGTGATAACGACGTCATTATGACGTCTTTAAAATACTATTTTTTCCAAGCTAATTTTTGTCGTATCGACGACGTCATTATGACGTCTTTAAAAGACTAATTTTTTCAATGTAATGTCGTCGTATTGACGACGTGATAACGACGTCATTATGACGTCTTTAAAATACTATTTTTTCCAAGCTAATTTTTGTCGTATCGACGACGTCATTATGACGTCTTTAAAAGACTATTTTTTCCAATGTAATGTTGTCGTATTGACGACGTGATAACGACGTCATTATGACGTTTCTAAAATACTAATTTTTCCAAGCTAATTTTTGTCGTATCGACGACGTCATTATGACGTCTTTAAAAGACTATTTTGTTTCCAATGTAATGTTGTCGTATTGACGACGTGATAACGACGTCATCATGACGTATTTAAAATACTATTTTTTCCAAGCTATTTGTTGTCGTATTGACGACGTCATTACGACGTCATTATGACTTCTTTTAAAGACTATTTATTCCAAGATAATTGTTGTCGTATCGACGACGTCATTACGACGTCTTTAAAAGACTATTTTTTCCAATATATTTTTTGTCGTATTGACAATGTCATTACGACGTCATTATGACCTCTTTTAAAGACTATTTTTCCAAGATATTTTATTGTCGTAAGGACGACGTTATAACGACGTCATTGTGACGTCTCTAATAACTTTTTTTTTTCAAGATAATAATTGGGTTAAGACTACAACATCTAATATGAGCATAAGTCAAAGTAAATAGGGCAATTATCAGAATTAAAAATAGGGAACAACCCCCCCCCCCCCTCAAATGTCATTAGTCATTAATAGTGGACCAATTTCACACCAAAGTCTGCAATATCGATCAAGACTATACATGCTCGCATCTAGTTTGCTATTTCAAACGGGAATGTGTACGTACGTGTGTGTACAGGTACATTCAGCACTCAAGGCAATGCGTAGGACTACAATGCATTGCATTGCACGATGTGTATGTAATGTATTTGAATTCAGAGTGAAAAAGCCGTTGCAAGAAGTATCCTCCTCCTGAATACTCCAGTTTTCTCCTGCAAATTTACAGTATGGGTAAGTCCTAGAATTACCTAATTTATTTACGAAAAGTACATAAATCTATAGTTACTGTTTTTTATTCTGAAAAGTTGATATGTAGACTCTTTGTTACTGTAATGCATGATCTTATGTCAGTGATAGTGAGCTCGGACTTTCAACTTTTGCTGACTAGATTCGAAATGTATGATCCCATATATGTATTTTTATGTAGGGTTTTGATTGATGGGATGCATGGCATGGGGCATCATTTAAAGCAAAAAAGTTTACTCATTTGCCTACACATGGGCTGCATGGCTTTAAAGGGAAATCTAACTCGAATATAGTATTATACAACTGCTCTAAAACTGAAAGAAAGCAGAAAAATAAGAGAAGCAAACTGATGAAAGTTTTGGCACTAGGTAGGTCTAGATCTACTGCTAAGTCACACTAAGATGGATAATACATGCAGTCACTCCTTTATTCCAAGCAATACTGTAGATCTACTACTAGTTCAGAATCATATCCAGACTTTTTGACCAGTGACCCATGGCGTGGCCGGTGAGAGTCCTAAAAATCTTAAACATAGGTCTAGATCGGCCTACCCCAAATCAAGCAAATATTCATGAAATGTTCAAATAATGCCAGTCATGATTTAAAAGTCGTTATGTTTCTAACCTGTTTCTGGTCAATTTTTCTTATTTTGGGGGGAGTATTTTTCGGGAAAAACGTTGATTGTAGAATACACTTTCTGACAGGTTGCACGGCAAACCGCTGCACAATACAAGTGCATACAGATGGAGGGTTGCGGGGGCACGTAAGTCTGCGTGAAGTGATCTACCTCCTCATTGTACGGTAGATAACTTCACACAGGCGTGCACCCGCCCGCAACCACCATCGGTATGCACTTGTAATGTGCAGCGGTTTACAGTGAAACCTGTGAGAAAGTGTACTATAGTACCGGCCCAGGCCCAGATGTTTGAAAATTGAACATTGCGTGTCGATACGTAGAGGAATAAAGCAGTGACTTGTGTCACAAACATGTAACCTTAAACAATTTGTTTCTACAGTCTTTAGACAGCAAATTTAGCTTATAGGCTACCGTATACAGAAATCTTATCTGGAAATAGTCGGTTAGACCTGTAAATGGTAACCAAAATTCTTTCCCCACAGGCTGTTCAAAGAAGCTTGTAGTATTTGTGTTGCACATGCATACATTATCAACCTTTCATTTTGTTTTAACTTTATTCATTTTCTCATTTATTTGTAGGCATCTTTTTTTAACATCTTTCGTCAAAGAAGTGGATTCAAAGCACATTGTGGCCTCAGTATATTGATGTGAAACCATGCAGAAAATGCTACTTTCTCTCAACCTTGTGGATGTTCCCTACTTCCCTAAGGATCAGCAGCCTCTTGAAACAGGTGAAGCCATTATCGGTAAATGTGTACATGTACTTGTATTATTTCTGTACATTTATTTGTCATATTGTGCATGATCACTGAGACACTGACGAATTAGACACTACATAATGGTTCATTTCATTTGAAAGGCTTATTTCAGTTATTTGTCCTAAGTTTCAAATATATTTATAATTCAATTAATTTTAGATCACTAAAACCTGCAGGTATGTTGCAATAACCGACAATATTATGTGAGTTTCAAACAGTGTTTTTTTACCCTTCAGCATAGGTCAAGGAGCTTTCATTCTACCCTCATCAGCAAACTACAGGAATGCCAGTTTTCAGGCAATAGCCTGAATTCAGGCCCTGAGGAGTTATTTTCATACCATAGTTTAGGTTTTTTGTGTACAAGCTAGCTCATTCTAGGTGATTTTTCAGGTCCTCTGATCAATTCTAACTGGCATCCCTGAAACTAGAATTGTATTGATAATTAACCAAACAAAATCCTGAATCACGTTTTGCATTGCCCACAAATGTTTAAAACCCAAAGGTGTGTTGACTTTATGTTTGTGAGCAATAAGAAATTATTTCTGATAAATCTTACCAAGCAGTACTTTTCTGACAGAATTAATTATTTACGTTCCAGTTTTAAAATATATGAAAGTTTTTCTTAAATTGTATTCCTTTCTTTTTGCTTTATTCATGCATTAGAATTCCTTGCGTCTATGTTCCTTGGATCTGAAAACAGTGCATAATGCAGGAGATTCCACCCAAAAGCTAACCCACAAGTCCAAGCTGAAGTGGAATATTTCGCAAAATTTGATCTACACTCACCCGATAGCTTTACTGCTAGAGAAAGGTTATTTTTTCACTTCATTATACTTTATAGAGAGAGATTGGGGGAGGGGGAGGGGGAGGGGGAGGGGTGAGGTGTAGCCACAAACCTGAATGGATAAGCTGTAGAACTGAAATTTCCAGTCATGTTACTTGCAATTTTAATGAATTACAGGATTTACGAACTGACATAATAACGATTTGGGTAAAAGTCTAAAAGATTCCAGTATTTTGAGGATATTTGTAATTACTATTCATAAAGTTGACCTGTTTCATAATGTCTCATGCTCACCCCCCTCCCCCCACCCCATCCACTTCATATCAGTTCTTAAAACATGTTGCAAATTATATATACATTGTAAGTTGGTAATAGAGAAAAATTGAGTGAGGTAAATGCAATACAAATCGAATCCATTATTAAGCAATTAAGACTTGTTCAGGTACGGCACGTGAACCTCCAACAAATTTAAAAAATGATGCAGTTTGGTTTTATGTGTAAAGTGAATGGCAACAAAGGACCTACCGGTGCGTGTCTTTGTATGTTTTGGACTGCGCAAATTCAGTGAGCTCTTTTTAATAATATACACTATGTAAAGCGTATTGAACTCTATGTCAGCATTTAAAAAACTCTGCGATTTTGACTGTTTTGCAGCATCATATCTGAGCAAGCCTTAACGGGACGTGGTAAAATTGTTCAGATGAGAGACAATTGTGCTAAGGTATGACTTCAATGCTATATGTACACTTAAAGATAATCTGAAAGTTTGAGTGAAAAAAGACCATTATTGATGATAAAAATTGGGAACAACTGATCTGATCGATTCCTTAATTCTTCCAACTATATTATTATAATTTAATTTAATTTTAGGTGAATGTAAATCATCACAAAGAAAAGAATTGGCTCTAATACCTTAGATTTTTAAAGGCCTGTTTTATATCTTATTTTCATGGAAAAACGGTTGGGGGAAAATTCAAAAATTTATTGGGAGAATGAAGTGTTAAAGAGTGACACACAGTGGCGCCTTCAAAGAAAACCATAAATATCTTTGTGGTTTGAGAATTTTTTGGTAGTTAAAAGTATAAAATTCTTGGATTGTATCTGTGATTTTTAGAGCACTATATGGCTTACCTTTATTGAATTCGCTTTTAAAATTTAAGTTAAATTAATATTTTGTGAAACTCCCCCCAGGAGTTTCAAACGTGCCAAATGAATGTTGTGACATTAGCAATAGAATGTATCTCTTTGTGCTAAACTTGTTCAGCATGTTTGCTATTTTATCTTAAACTTGGAAATATCTTCTGAATAATTATTGCACAGTCACCTTGGAATTGCCCAACAAAGCCACTCGTACTGGCGGGAATGTTATCTGATAGAAATTGTATTTTTATACTTGAACTTCAGCTTCTGTATTTGCAACAATTTTTTTTTGGATGATATTTATAAAATATGAATGTTGCCACTAATGCCTTTTCTTGTATTTAAGTCATGTGCCAGTAAGAAGCAGGTTTCTAGCACAGAAAATAGGTACAGTTGAGCTGATATCTGCACAGTTTTCCAATATGCTGTATCGCCAAATGTGAACATCGTGGTTTCAACGGGCAAGCAACCATCATCAGAAAACTCTGCAGGTATCAGTGAAGCTGTCCCTGTTCCCCTTGCTGCCAACTTGTTCCTTTTGAGTGTAAGAAATAACTTAGCTAAGCCATGTGTTTATCATTTGTGCCATTTTTCTCTTGTGTGTGATTTAGATTGTATAGTTTTATACTTTATACTGAATTATTGCCATAAACTTAGATATTCCCCTTGTATGTAACAAGTATTGATCTTTCATGCTCAGGAATTGTTTCCAACAACCTTTTGTTTTATGTTATAGTCTTTATCTGCATTAAAGTATTGGGGTTGTGAGGAGCAGTGTTGCAGCATGGAGAAGAAATAGAGCTGCACTGATGAATGCCCAGCTTTCCACTATGCTGTTTTGCTGAATATGAGGAACTTCCCCAGTCTGATGTTTTCTTGTCTACTAAACAACTGCGGGTATCAGTGTAGCTTTACCTAGTCTCTATGCTGCTAACCTGCTTCTCACAACCGCAAGACTTATAAGTTAAGCCAATATATATCATAGTTTCTTGTAACTGAATTAAATTTGAAATGAAATAGCACAATTTATAACGAAACAAATATCTTTGTGATGGCCTGTTAACTTTCTTAAAATCAATTATGAGACTGACAGAAATACACTAGGTATTTATACAGCATGTTTTGGAAGAAGTTTCAGGATTGTGATGGAAAGATTTTGTATTTATAGAAGACAAGTTAGATAGAAGAAGGTATAAACATAAGTATTCTATATTTTTATTATCCATTTTCATACCATATAAATGAACATTAAAAATATGAAAATTACTTTCTGTCTGGCATGTGTATATATTATGTGATGCAATATCTGTTGCTCTATTTTTACTGTGTGAATGTTCAGAATGTATTCATGAAGTGACTTTTACACTTTCTTCCTTCATCAGGTGGTCATATAGATGTCATTTAGAGGACACAAAAGACGTAAAGATCATGTAAGGATAAAAGGTACATCGAAATGACCAGTAAGACGTAAATATCACGTCAAAATTTGATGTCCATACAACGTATACACGACGTCTGTAGGACGTCTTTCTTGGGTAAAAGTTGACGTCTTAAAGACGTCTTTCTTGGACCAATAAGACCAGAAAAAAATATGACGTCCATACGACGTCTTTCTTGGACCAATAAGACCAGAAAAAAATATGACGTCCATACGACGTCTTCCATGGTACAAGTTGACGTCTTAACGATGTCTTTCTTTGACTAATAAGACGTTAAAATCACGACAAAATATGACGTCCATACGATGTCTTTCTGTAGTACAAGTTGACGTCTTAAAGACGTCTTTCTTTAACTTATAAGACGTAAAAATCACGTCAAAATATGACGTCCTCATGACGACGTGCGCGGGTGCAAAATCATGTCTTTTTGACGTCGTGTTATGTCGTCTTAAAGATGTCTTTCTTTAACTAAAAGACGTAAATATGACGTTCATATGACGTCTTCCTATGGTACAAGTTGACGTCTAAAAGACGTCTTTCTTTAACTTATAAGACGTAAAAATCACGTCAAAATATGACGTCCTCATGACGACGTGCGCGGGTGCAAAATCATGTCTTTTTGACGTCGTGTTATGTCGTCTTAAAGACGTCTTTCTTTAACTAAAAGACGTAAATATGACGTTCATATGACGTCTTCCTATGGTACAAGTTGACGTCTTAAAGACGTCTTTCTTTGACTAGTAAGACGTAAATATGACGTCCATACGACGTCTTCCTAAGGTACAAGTTGACGTCTTAAAGACGTCTTTCTTTGACTAATAAGACGTAAAAATCACGTCAAAATATGACGTCCTCATGACGACGTGCGCGGGTGCAAAATCATGTCTTTTTGACGTTGTGTTATGTCGTCTTAAAGACGTAGTACAAGACGTAAATATGACGTGATATTTACCAGTCTCTGCTATCAGGGAGGGCGGGATTACCGAGAGTAAAGCATCTTTCTATAGGATGTGCTTTGTTGTAGCTAGGATGTGCTTTGCATGGATTTGCATGTAGTAGCTGCACAAGAGATACACTGGGCTTCCCGTCGACGTCCAAACTTAGAGACCTATTTCCATCATGATTGCCGCGATTTTTATATAGTTTTCGTGAATGGAGGTATGAAATCAAAGCTTATTTTGTGATTATTACGGCCATGTGTACTCAATTTTGATTATCATTTTCTAAAGGGAAAGTTTTGACAAGAAAACCATTGGACTGACAATTCAGTCGCAAGCTAACTTCAGTCACCACACATCACAGAGTAACTCGAGGAATCTCCAACACCGGCACCGGGCACCGCAGGCGTCCGAGGCCTGCGGCGCCTGTGTTTGAGCTTCGTGGAGTTACGCTGGAGTGTTATGTGTGTGAGTAGAGCTGAGCTGAGCTCGAGTCGAAGAGATTTGACACTTTGAAATTGTTATCTGTTGGTTTGCATCATTATTGCCGCGATTTCAATATAGTTTCGTGAATAGATTTACGAAACCTGAGCTTAGAATTAGTAAAAGTATTACTAATGTCTACGTTTTTAAACGACTGTCTGATTTTCTTGTGAAAATTTTACTTTGAAAAATAATTATCGAAATTTATGGTCAGAAATAATCACAATCTAGGGTCTATTATGTTACAGTTCTTGCATCAAATCAATGCATGAAAACTTAGTTATTGAACTAGAAATTTTTTTTTTTTTTTAAATAGGCAATTATGAAGAAGGAAACCTGAAACCCTGAGTTGAGTGTATATTTGTTTCAAGGGGCCATAAACCCCCAAAAGCTCGGGGGTTACGTTCTTCAAAGTTGAGAGATCAGATCGCAGCGAGTTGAGTGTATATACAATATAGGCGTGGGGTCCACGGGTTTCAAGGGGCCATAAACCCCCGAAAGCTCGGGGGTTTTAGGCGTTTAATTAGGGTCAGATGAGCATATTTTTAATACTTTATTTGTGACACTTGCGGGTCACTAATTGGCGTGGGGTCAATACGTAGAGTTGCGTAGTGTTGCTACCAACTACGCTGGCCTACATTACTATATGCTGAGGGACAGAAAGGGGTACGCAAGATGAACGAAAACAAGTCAACATGTTTAATTTTTTTCGCGTACTTTCAGCGTAGAAACTTGACGCAGAAAGTACGCCTTTTTACGCAACCCTACGCCAGATCGTCAAAGCAGTAAAAGCTTTCCACACAGTAAGCAACCATATAAGCAAACCTGTACGCCAGCCTACGCATAACCTACGCAGGGACTATTTTCCCATTAATACGCAGCCTAATTTCTGCGTAGTCGGTACGCCACACTACGGAACTCTACGCAGTTCCAGTGGCTTAAAGAATAACTACCGGTACAGTTGGATCGTTTTTTTAAATTTTTTTATATAAGGCCAAATTTAAAAAAAACATGTTTAGCGTCCTGTTTTTTCTGAAAAATGGGAAGGAGGATCGAGGCCCTTTTTTTTTTTTTTTTTTTTTTTCTTTCAAATGGCTGCTCCGTACATTTTCCCTGACATTCAGGCTATTTTTCAAGATGGCAGCCGACAATTTTTTTCTTTTCTTTTTAAAGATCAGAAATACATTTTAGCAGTGCTTTTCATGTTTTTTTTTCTTTAAAAAAAAAAAAAAAAAAAAAAATCAAAAAAAAAATTCAAAAAAAAAAAAAAAATAGGAGAGGCGGCCCCCGGAAAGGAAGCGGGTGGGGACGCTGTTTTTTTTCTATAAAAAAATTTTAAAAAATAAAAAAAATTCAAAAAAATTTCAAAAAAAAAAAAAATAGGAGGCGGCCCCCAAAAAGGAAACGGGCGGGGAAGCTGTTTAAAAAAAAAAAATATATAGGAGGTGGCCCCCAAAAAGGAAGCGGGCGGGGACGCTAAACATGTATATTTTTTTAATGGCCTGAATGGCATATAAAGTTCTTGGTGGTTTTAATTTAGATAGTCTCTATATATCTATTTACACCCCCCGCCCCCCTCTAGAATCCCGCGGATTTCCGCGGGTCCTGCTAGTCTATAATAATAATACGCTAAGGCTCCGCGGGGGGCGCGACGTCTCGGCGAGCCTTTGTATTCTATTGTTTTTTAATGAGATCGCCGACCCAAGCTGGTGCGGCTATCTCCTCCTGAACCCTGCCCTCGGGGTACCCGTGCCCGGTGCCATCGTCCGCGGGAGAGTCTACTCTGTGGAATTGGCTATACTCCGCCCGAGGTCCTCCTCCGTGTCGACGTCCAGGGCGAAAACAGACGCGACATGCATAATGCAGGATATGCGTGACGACAGAGATACCTCATGGATATTCAACATTGCATCCGTAGACACACGACCGATGACTATCCGTATAAAATTGTATACACAAAAATCGGTCGTAAAAAAAACTCGAACCATATTCCATACCTTACCTGGCTTACCATGTCGCACGCAAGTACGCCAAAACACGTGCATTTTCGCAGTTGCGAGATCGAGACGGAGCGTAGGGCTCGAGTTTTTGGCGGTCGATTTTGTTTCGGTAGAAGCTGAATCTAGACCATGAACCACTAAACATCGCGAAACTGCAATCAATTTCCATCACGAATTCACGATTGCTGCAATATTATAAAGTTTCCATAAATAGAGGTATGAAATTAAAGCCTATTTTGTGATGTTCTCGCCATGTTTACGTAATTTTGATAATCATTTCTTCAAAGTAAAGAAAATCAGACAAAATCACCGTAACTGACAGTGCATTGCCACTGTGTAGTGTGTGTGAGATGAGCTGAGTTGCAGTTGAAAGTGTGTGAGTTGAATTCGAGTCGAAGAGATTTGACACTTTGAAATTGTTATCTGTTGGTTTGCATCATTATTGCCGCGATTTCAATATAGTTTCGTGAATAGATTTACGAAACCTGAGCTTAGAATTAGTAAAAGTATTACTAGACTCTAATGTCTACGTTTTTAAAAGACTGTTTGATTTTCCTGTGAAAATTTTACTTTGAAAAATGATTATCGAAATTCATGGTCAGAAATAATCACAATCTAGGGTCTATTATGTTACAGTTCTTGCATCAAATCAATGCATGAAAACTTAGTTATTGAACTAGAAAAATGTTTTTTTTTTTTAAATAGGCAATTATGAAGTAGGAAGCCTGAAACCTAATAGCCTACTAAACAAATCTCAACAAAGTGTAGGCCTATCCTTATATGAATTAATGAAAAAGTAGCCCCAGAAAAAAGAGCCCCCGAAAATTTCCCTAAAATTTGAAATGGAGCCCCCGAAATGAAAAACCGCGGGTCCTGAGTTGAGTGTATATATAATATAGGCGTGGGGTCCACGGGTTTCAAGGGGCCATAAACCCCCAAAAGCTCGGGGGTTACGTTTTTCAAAGTTGGGGGGGGGGGGGGGAGAGATCAGATCGCAGCGAGTTGAGTGTATATATAATATAGGCGTGGGGTCCACAGGTTTCAAGGGGCCATAAACCCCCGAAAGCTCGGGGGTTTTAGGCGTATAGGGTCAGATGAGCATATTTTTAATACTTTATTTGTGACACTTGCGGGTCACTAATTGGCTTGGGGTCAATACGTAGAGTTGCGTAGTGTTGCGTAACAACTACGCTGGCCTACGTTACTATATGCTGAGGGACGGAAAGGGGTACGCAAGATGAACGAAAACAATTCAACCTGTTTAATTTTTTTCGCCAGCCTACGCATAACCTACGCAGGGACTATTTCCCCATTAATACGCAGCCTAATTTCTGCGTAATCGGTACGCCACACTACGCAACTCCAGTGGCTTAAAGAATAACTACCGGTACAGTTGGATCGTTTTT